AGCAACAAACCACCTCCAAGAGACAGAGAAACCACAGAATGCTTCCTCCCAGCACCAGCCAATGAGAACCTGCAAGTAACAGACAAAGCCATAGAAACCATTAATGCTACCATCTGTAGCCAACCAATCAAAAATACTAACAAACCACTTGCCCTGACTCTGGGAAATTCCCCTAATTGTTCCCCAAATGTCAACCAATCAGGATCCGACCCATACCTACTGACATAATTCTGTGATTTTTTTTTCCTTTAAAATTCTGGCAATAGACAAGGGACTTCTATCCCTCTGGAGGCTGCTGTGTCAGCCTGCTAGATGGAGTCCCTGCTGGTAGGATTAAACAATAAAGCCTTGCATTTGCAGTTTGGTAACTCAAACTGTGGTCGATCGGGTTCTTCAAGTCTTGGGCACAACAGTGGCAGCTTACAATTTTAGAGGTTTAGTCCATTATTATCATGACAAGGAGCATGACAATATGCAGGTAGATATAGTGCTGGAGAAGGACCTGAGAGTCCTACATCTTGCAGGCAACAGGAAGTAAATTGAGACACTGGGTAGTATCTTTAGCATAGGACACATCAAAGCCCACCCCCATGGTGACACACTCCCTCAAACAAGGCCATACCCACTCCAACAACGCCATACCTATGAGATTATGGGAACCAATTACATTCAAACTAACATAAACCCTGTCTTGAAAAACAACAAAACAAAAAAAACCCAAATGAGACCTAAGAAATTAGATGTAAGGAGGCAGAATTCTGAGACGGGAAGCAGATAACCTCATAGAATCCAGTTTATATCACAGAACTCAAAAAAGGCTCAGCGGTTGTTATGAATGTAATTGTAAGGGATATTATTTACCTAGTATAATCATAATGTACTCACTAAAATTAGATAATGTGACTGGATCAGGAGACAGGATTTGTTTTTTTGAGGCAAGGTTTCTCTTGTAGCCTGGATCTTGTTCTGTACACCAAACTGGCCTTGAACTCAAGGATCTGCCTGCCTCCGGAGTGCTGGGATCATAGGTATTTGCCACCACTGCTCAGCTGTGAAGGAGAACTTAATCCCATTGTGGAAATATAAATACTGCCCAAAAATGAGAAGTCAAGACATAACTGTTATGCCAAGTTCGTGAGACTCCAAAAAGACCACCAAGGAGACAACTCACTGATGCAAATGCATAAGGTTGAATATTGAGTCCTAGTTAAAAACTATAGATTTGCACATTTTTTCTTCTTTTTAGAGAGGGCCAGGTATAGATTGGGCAGAGATACCCTTGGCCTGATGAAAAGCCCTTTAAGTTTATACTTAGATGACAACCAAAATAAATCCAAATTCTTTGGGTCACTGTCAGGATCTGGGAGTCTGCCATATTCTGCAGATATCTGTAGTATTAAGAGGGCTGCTTAGGTAAATCTGAATAGACAACTTTGTTTCTAGTTACTTGTTTTGATTTCAACTTTTGAAAACATATACAGGGGACTAAGTAAGATTTGTCCCTGTAGTTAATTATATTAATACTCAGCATGACTGTAATTAACAAACTTGATCATTTATAAGGTTGGCTATTAACTTGTATTTATTAACATTTTGCAATACAATAGGTTAGCAGCTTTTATAAGACTGGGACTTTATATTGTCAGGTTTAGCTTTAATGCTTTGACCTTTTAAAAGAGTTTCCCAGGGCTGGAGAGATGGCTCAGAGGTTAAGAGCACCAACTGCTCTTCCAGGGGTCCTGAGTTCAATTCCCAGCAACCACATGGTGGCTCACAACCCTCAGTTATAAGATCTGGTGCCCTCTTCTGTTGTGCAGATATACATGGAAGCAGAATGTTGTATACATAATAAATAAATAAAATCTTTAAAAAAATAAAAGAGTTTCCCATGTTATGGTGATCCCCTACTATAAAGTTTTCCTGTTGTTATCAATGTAAACATCTGACATACAGGTGATCCCAGGATACTCTTATAAAAAAGGCTTTTTTTTAATCCCCAAAGAGTTGAGACTCATGGGCTCAGAAGCTACTCTAAGTCTTTTTTCAGACTTAGGTCATTGGATCAAAGAAATAAACATCAAAGAAATAAACTTACTGCATCAAAGAAATAAACATCCCAATTTCTGGTTAGTATATGATGCTTATAGCTATGATCTTAAGTTTTAGTTATTTAATTTAAGTACAAATATTAACAATAAAGACATTTTATGAGCACAAATATCCCATAGCCTTATAAATTTAAATATTTAAAAACTGTTTTTTAAAAAATTAAAAATCTCTCTCTTTTTGGTTTTTTGAGACAGGGTTTCTCTGTGTAGCTTTGGAGCCTATCCTGGCACTTGTTCTGGAGACCAGGCTGACCTCAAACTCACAGAGATCCAACTGCCTCTGCCTCCCGAGTGCTGGGATTAAAGGCGTGTGCCACCAACGCTCGGCTTAAAGTTAAAAATCTCTTAATTTTTTTTGTAATATCAAAAATAAAGTAACCTTTATGCTTTTAAAATGATTATAATCTGGGGGGCTGATAAATTACGAAACTTACGATTACACCCAAAAACAAAACTTTCTAATAAGCATACACTATTTTTGAAGTAAATAAAACTTTTTAACCAGAATTAACCTTATATTACTAATTATTTTATTTTATTTTGGTTTTTTGAGACAGGGTTTCTCTGTGGCTTTGGAGGCTGTCCTGGAACTCACTCTGGAGACCAGGCTGGCCTCGAACTCACAGAGATCCACCTGCCTCTGCCTCCTGAGTGCTGGGATTAAAGACCTGTGCCACTACTGCCCATCTTATATTACTAATTTTTAAATTTTAGCATTTGCAGGTATGAGAAGCCATAGTAACCGTAGTTTACATTTCCCTCTGACATTTTATAATTTCTTAGATACCTTTAGTTCATTTTTTGGATTCCCTTAGACATTTTTATTTTAGACAAAATTTTTTATCTCAATAAATAATATGTACTATTTTTTTAGATGATGACAAGTAAATGTAACCCATTAGATTTAAATGACTATGTGTGTGTGTGTGTGTGTGTGTGTGTGTGTGTGTGTGTGTTTTGTGGAAACATAAGCATAATTTTTTTCTCAAACATAATGTATCTTTGACTTTTATTTTAAACTTAAAGCTTCCAAAAGTATACAGACTGGCAGAATTTAACTTTTTTTTTTTTAAGCAGTATCCAGACAGAGAAGGATTAAGGTATGAAGCTGCTGGCTAGCAGAAGAGACCTTGGCTGGTATCACAGTGAAGAAGAATTTAGCTTAGGAGGGAAGGGAGTGGGGAGCAGTGCTTGTTGGCACAGAGTGTCCTTGGCTGCCAGTGTTTCTGAAAGAAAAATAGTTTTTAACTTCTCCAGCCACAATCCCAGATCCTCTGTTTCATGTACTTCCAATGGGTCAGGAAGGTGTCTGTCCCATGTTAGGTTGAGTCTGAGCAACATCCGTACAATTAGTACCTTTAAGACAAGACAAAAACAACACTTAGACAAAGATTTGCAAGTTTCAGATTCACAAATGGGAAACAAACTCCTTAGCAGTTATTTTAGAAGTTGCAAATGTACAAATTGGATTTAAAAATCCTGATGGGGCAGCCCCCAATCCCCCCCATCCAAACCTGACAGGATTGCCCACAGTGGGCTCCCATCCAAACCTGACAGGACAGCCCCCAGCAGGCTCCCATCCAAACCTGACAGGACAGCCCCCAGTGGGCCCCCATCTATACAAGGAAGGAGAACGTCTCCTGACCCTCCAGATCTGACCTTGTAAGCACATCTGGCAAGGTCTTCTTGATCTGTTTCTTACAGTTTCAAATTGTCCGCTAGCAAACCAAAAACAGAAAAGAACTAAATCACAGAAACCTGACAAACAAACACAGAACACTTACAAGACTGGTCAGGAATTAAATCTTCAGGGTCGGGAGTCCTGGGGGGGGTGTGTCTTGGGGATCCCGGACGAGCCCCCTATGCCAAGTTCGTGAGACCCCAAAAAGACCACCAAGGAGCCGACTCACTGATGCAAACACATAAAGTTTAGTGTTAAGTTACAAGCCTCAGCAGGGACCTTGTCCAGCAAACTGGCACAGCAGCTGCAGGAAAAGGGTGTCTGATCTTACTTGCAAGGGGTTTATAAAGGAAAAAAACCACAAGCAGGGTGGAACGTGTCTTGACTGTTCAGGATTGGGTAAGAGTAGGTGACCTTTGGATTCATTTACGTGGGGGCTAGGGGAGTTCATGTTTTTGGCAGTACAACCTGTTATTTTACATATTTTCATTGGTTGTCATGGGAGGGAACATTCTATGGTTTCAGGGTTGCACCGTGACTTTTACACCTCTTCTGAAAGTGGTCTGGTTTTTTAAAATTCCTTGGAACAGGGTAGAACCAGGTAACTCGGAGGTCAAGGAGAGATTGTTGAGGCTTCATCTAGTTTTTAACCTTTTCAATAATAATTTGAGCATTCTCCAATGCCAAATGGGCCATGGAGGATGTAGTGCCACAGGACTGCTAGTGCTAACTTTGTAAAAAACAATTATTTCCCTTGGTACTATGTCCAGTGAAACTTTTGTACAAGTGAAAAAAAAAGTTACTATGATCAGTATATAATTTTATCAATCATGCACTGTATAGTTTTATATATAAATATCATTTTTTAAAGATTTATTTATTTATTATGTATACAACATTCTGCTTCCATGTATATCTGCACACCAGAAGAGGGCACCAGATCTCATAATGGATGGCTGTGAGCCACCATGTGGTTGCTGGGAATTGAACTCAGGACCTCTGGATGAGCAGTCGGTGCTCTTAGCCTCTGAGCCATCTCTCCAGCCCCATAAATATCATTTTATATATGTAAAATTTCTAATCTTCAAAGTCTACATTGTTTTATATTTAAACAATTTACAATAGTTCGGGATTCAGATATCAAACTTATTTGTGAATAACATAACTATAATTCCACCTCCTTCTTCCCGTTTTTCCTTCCCTTCTTTCAGATTGCAGGGCTGAGTTTGCCTCTTCCTCCTAAGAAACTGATTGGAAACATGGACCGTGAATTCATAGCTGAGAGACAGAGAGGCCTGCAGAACTACCTGAATGTTATCATGGCAAATCATGTGTTGTCCAATTGTGAGCTTCTTAAGAAGTTCCTAGACCCAAACAACTATTCTGCAAACTACACTGGTAAGAAACAGGGTCTGTGAGGTGCAGTCAAGTGGGGCCCATCCTCAGCAAGAGCATTTTGGAGAAGTGTGCACATTTGTAACAAGGTAGTGTTTCTTTGCAAAGATTTGCTTGGTTGTAATTTTCTATACATTTATGGGAGGGACTTCCTTCCAGAATGTTTGTGGTGCCTATACAGAAAAAAACATAGAAGAGAAACAGTATGTCTGTGTACTTCTGGTCTGCCTATTATCTTCTCTTTGGAACAGAGCAGACAACCAACCCACAGTAGTACACAGAGCAGCCTCAATCTGGTTTGTGTTCATAGTGTGTGATATGTCTGCTTTTTCTTTAAGTTGTCGTTAAATGTAATGTTGATTCAGAAGGGCTGTTTCTGTGTCTTCACACCTCCTCCCTGAGGCTCTCGTGTGCCATGCACAGAGGGTGGCTCCCCAGGATCAGGGCTTATGCGCCTCTGGATCAGGGCTTTTGCTCCCCTACTGGTTACACACAAAGTTAGTATCAAATACCCAAGCCTCATGTCAGCAGAAGGAAGAACTCAATACCTACTTCACTCTGGTGTAACCTTTAGGGGCCATTAAAACTACTGTAGACCTGCCCTGATAAACAAATTGTTTAAAGCCAAGCTATACGTTAAGGTTATCTAAACAGAACTCTAGTTGTTAAGGGAATAGATTCTGCTATTGGGATTGTAAAACATTGTTTTTAAGTCAGACTCATTCCTGTAGCTCTAGCACTTGGGAGAAGGATTACCTTAAGTTTAAGTAAGAACAGCCTAGGTTATACAGTGAGTTCCAGGCCACCTTGGGCAATGGAGTGGGATGCTATTTCAAAAATGCCAAACAAACAAAAATTACTGTATTTGAATTAATAGGAGACTCCTCTCATTCCTGTTTGGACGGTGGGGACCTGGAAGCCTATTTCTTGTTAGGCACAAAACCCTCCCAGGGCTGAGGCTGTGTGCATGTCAATCAGTCTGTGTGGAGTCTGTGGGGCTCCTGGCCTGTCTTATGTAGCTGAATTTGAGCTGTCTGCTCACAGTGAGGTTCTCTAACCAGGTATAGTTGGTATCACAGGAACTTGTCCAAAGAACCAAATTAAGTGTGATAAGCCTCGGTTAGAGTGTGCTTGCCATCTTCTAGTGCATGCCATGCAGGGCTAAGGGAAATGCTTTTCTAGAATCTAGCCAAGAAAAATAATGTGTATTACAAAGTCAAGCATTGTATGGTTACAAGGATTCAATTCTGTCCTTCTTAGTCAAAAGCCTGTAGATACTGGGCTGGCACTCAGAAGAGCTTCAGCTCTGCCACTGCCTTTTGACCCTTTCATTTCTTTCTCTAAGCCTCACCTTGACAGTTCCAGAATTGTCAGCAGGTTGTCTGGATGACTTTAATGATTCAGCTCAGCCCTCTTTATGTTTTGTCAGCATTATCTCCTGAGAGCATCTGCTGATGACATCTGTTGAGCCAGCATTAGGCACATGCCACACCATGTGCTAGGGTAGGCGTGAAGCACATGCATTGCTTGTATTCAAAGAGCTTGAACCAGAGAGTGATGGTTCACATGGGTTGGGTACTAGAAGGCATCTTAGAGCTGGTGTATCAAAGTTAACTCTGTGTGTGTGTGCACGTGTATACGTGTGTAAATGTGTGTGTGCACATGGAGGCCAGAAGTTGATGTCAGGTATCTTTCCCTCTCTACCTTATTATTAGTTTTTAAGACAGGGTCTCTCATTGAACCTGAAACTTGTCATTTTCCTGGGCTGGCTGGCCAGCGCGCCCTAGGGATCCTATCTCTGCCGCCACAGCTCAGGCTTACAGTGCATTTGTCAATGCCTCTAAGTTTTCACTTGGGTGCTTGAATTCAAAATTCAGGTTCTCATGCTTACATGGCAAGGGTTTTACTGAATGATTCATCTCTTAGGTCCCACCTGTCTTACAGATAAGGATACTTAGGTTTTCAAAGATGTGGCCCTGTACATCTGTTTGGCTCTGGTCTTGTCAGAATATTTCCAAGTTAAAATACTGTTTGATTTCTAGAAGTTTATCTCTTTCCTTCTGTTACCCTCTAAGGATTTTGATTGAGTTTGTTTTCTTTGCTAGTTAAAGAATTAAGCTGGGCGTTGGTGGCACACGCCTTTAATCCCAGCACTCGGGAGGCAGAGGCAGGCGGATCTCTGTGAGTTCGAGGCCAGCCTGGTCTCCAGAGCGAGTGCCAGGATAGGCTCCAAAGCTACACAGAGAAACCCTGTCTTGGGCGGGGGAGGGGGAGAATGAAAAGGCTGGAAAAATCTTGAGTGAAACAGGGAGCAGCAGGGAAAATCTTAACACAGCAGAGTAAGGAAAAGCCTCCAGAGGCGTGAGGAAGGCCACAGAGAGACAATGACAGACCCTCTGCAAAGCTGAGCTGAAGCTCAGTCTTTCCTTGAAGGCAAGGGGTTTTAAGAGTTTTTAAGGGTTCCCCTTCCTAATTCATCGTTGGTCAGCTTGAGCAAAGATGAGGAAAGTGATAGGCCCACAGCTTTGATGTAAACATGTCCCGGTCCTATTTAGAACTTGTCTGAGCTGTCCACAGGCTGAAGGGCCTGTTAAGATTTTGCCTGCCTCTTTCTGTCTGCCTACCAGGAATCTGTCTGACTAGTTCCCTACTTCTCCCATTCCTCCCCTACCTTCCCTAGGTTATCTGCCTCTGCTCTTTCCTGTCCCCCACAGCAGAACTGAAGGTTAGGAATGCAAAGCAGATGTGGCCAGAGTATAAGAAGATCCGTAGGAATTCATACCCGAATCCAAATCTGCCAGAGACTAGCCACTGTTAGAGGACTGAGTCCTGAGATGAAACAGTAGCTGAGGAAGCCGATTTATTTCTCCTTTGAATGAAATATCAGAATTTGCCTTGCTTCTAAGTTGGTTTACCAGCTGCTTCAGAAGAGGGAAGCACAGGTTACTTCCTCTTGCCAGTTTAGGCAGCCCACTCCTGGAACTTGCAGTGTGGCCCCACTCCTTCTGACTCTGCTCACCCCACCCATATAACGTTTTGTCCCTCTCTAAACAAGGCCAGATCTCCCTTCAGATGTGGCTGGTGCCCTTGCCTCTTCTCAGCTTCTGAATTACCAGATTCCTGTCCTCTTCAGCAAGATTTGACCTCTGTGTTGGAGTGGTGACCCAAATCAGCATAGCTACTTTTCCTTGTGTCTAGCACACTGACTTGGACCCTTGTTTGTGAGGGACTTTATTGCCCACTGAGTCCCAGAGGTGGGTAGCCAGATCTCCTATGACATTAGTAGCTGTCTCCTGTCCTACCAGAGGCCACAATCTGCCCAACCTGTAATTACTGCCCAACTTTTTACTGGCTTTATCTAAATGACTGACTATAAAGGTAAAAGCTTACATGTATCCTTAGAAGAAGCTGGGGCAGGGAGGAACAGACCAAGCAAAGTGGAAGTTCCCTTTTCGTCCTAAAACTTACAAATCCCTTGATTAGTGGTTACAAAGGGGGGGTCCTAGTTAAGGATTATGTTTAGAACAAAGGCAGGATGTTCTGGAGGGAGTACAGCTGTAAAACCCAGCAGTAGATTCGGGGTCTGGACTGCCCACTGGAAGACTAGAGGAGTCAATGTTGATTCCTTGAAGTCAATCCATGGGGCTAGGATCTTAGAGTTCAAAGGCTGGGCACAGAGGAAGACCTGGTACCTCTGAGTCTATGGAAACTGGAAGCCAGGGGGCAGCAGGATGAACTGGGGGCTTGGTTTCCCATTCCTGGTCTTGGGTTTTTGTTTCTTAGCACTTAACTGAGTAGCCATCGTTTGTCGGGGCTAAAGAAACAACATTTGGGGGCCTGGGTGTGTGTTTCCTGTAGCCTTGGCTGGACTTGAACTCACAGAGATCCACCCGCCCTTGCCTCCCAAGTGCTGGGATTAAATATTAAATGTGTGTGCCACCACTACCCTGCTAAGAAACAATAATTTTTTTTTTTTTTTGGACGGGGGTGTTTTTTTTTTCAAGACAGGGTTTCCCTGCCCTGGAACTTGCTCTGTAGACCAGGCTAGCCTGGAACTCAAGAGATCCGTCTCTCTCTGTCTCCCAAATGCTGGGATTAAAGGCATGTGCCACCATGCCTGGCTAAGAAACGACAGTTTTTTTTTTCTTTATTTTTTTTTTATTTGAATTAGAAACAAGATTGTTTTACATGTCAATCCCAGATCCCACTCCCTCCCCTTCTCCCCTACTAATGTGTGATTATTCTGGTGTGATTATTCTCCTGTTTCTTCATGTTCATCATCACTTAGCACTATGAACTTTCCTCTTAGCACTGCTTTCAAAGTGTCCCATAAGTTTGGGTATGTTGTGTCTTCATTCTCATTGAATTCTAGGAAATCTTTAATTTCTTTTTTTATTTCTTCCTAGACCCAGGAATTATGCAATTGGGCGTTATTTAATTTCCATGAGTTTGTAGGTTTTCTGCAATTTGTGTTGTTGTTGAATTCTAACTTTAAAGCATGGTGGTCTGATAAGATACAGGGGGTTATTTTAATTTTTTTGTACCAGTTGAAGGTTTTTTATGTTGCCAAGTATGTAGTCGATTTTAGGAAAGATTCCATGTGGCGCTGAGAAGAAGGTATATTGTTTTGTGTTTGGATGGAATGTTCTATAGATGTCTGTTAAGCCCAATTGGGCCATAACTTCTATTAGTTCCTTTTTTTCTTTGTTAAGTTTCTGTGTGGTGTTTCTGTCCAGTGGTGAGAGTGGGGTGTTAAAGTCTCCCACTATAAGTGTGTTCGGTTTTATATGTGTGATTTGAGTTTTAGTAATGTTTCTTTTACGAACATGGATGCCTTTGTATTTGGGGCATAAATGTTCAGAATTGAGA